GCTCCAGTGTGAAACAAGTGCCACCCTCAGGAGCTGCTCCTCTGGCTCCAGAGCTGTGTGTGGGGCAGGAGCTGACCCAGACCCCAGCACCAGCATCGTGCTGTGAGCACACAGAGCCCAGCCTGGGCATGGGGGAAAGCTGGGCTCCAGCTCTGCTGTTCCTTCCTGCACCAGCACCCTCGGGAGGACCCTGGGGCACCCCGAAGTGGCTCTGTAGCCCTGGGCTGCATCACCAGGGAGCAAGGGGCCCTGCAGCTGCCACACTGCTTCCCAGCTGGAACAAGGTGGGTTTGTGGGTCAGGGATCTCAGGTGGCTGGGCTGGGCTGGGTGGGTCTCGGGGTCTCCAGGCTGCCAGGGTATGCAGGGTAGAGCCCCCAGCAGCTCCTAGCTGGGCTATCCTGATGCAATCCCTTGTTTGCAAAACATCAGCCTTCCACAAAGTGTCCCAGGGCAGCAAAACCTCGCCTGGGCATCCCTGGCTGGAGGGACCCTTAGGTGGCTGCTGGGCTGTGAAACGGGACCCCAGGCACAGCCGTGGGACACACTCCAGCCCTCCAGGTGTGGTCACGGCCAGCTGGTGACAGACCTGACTGTGCTTCAGGGTTTTGGGCCCTGGGGAGCCCCAGCATCACTGCAGAGCCCCCGGCAGCGCAGCCCATGGCCAGCCCAGGCAGGGAGGTGGCAGCGCTGGCAGGTCACTGTGCCAGAGCACTGCAGCTACACCCTGCCCACACCAGCGTGGGGGTCTCGAGGGCCCCCCAAATCGCCTGGTCTGGGGCAAAAGGAGCTGCACACCGGGGGAGCACTGAACCATTACATGCAAAAGCCCCTCAGGGGTGTGGGTGAGTTGCATTCCCCACCAAAACAAAAACAAAACAAGAAAGGGCTCGCCTCCTTTTTTATGTCCCCTCCAGCACCTGCCCCCGAAGAGGAAAGGCTGGAGGTGCTGAGCTGCTCCCCTGGGCAAAACTCCCTCAGGTTTGCTGTTTCACAGAGACTGCAGACCCCCCTCGGCGCTGAGGCTCTCGCCAGAGCCGGAAGAGTTAATGCTCCCAAAATGCCATGAAACGTTCCTGCTGCAGGTCAGTCTCCAGCGGGGATTAGGGGGATCTGGCCGAGGAGCCGGGGCCACCTCCTGCCAGCTCAGGGCCGGTGCGGGACGTGCTGGTTGAGCCCAGGCACAGTGTGCGGGTCTGGTCTGACTCAGAGGACAGCCTGGTTATAAATCAGCGGGGAGGGAGGGCTGGGAGTCCCAGGGGGAGCCCCTTCAGGGGGGCTGGGTGGGCACCCAGCCCACGGGGCGAGCAGGGGTCCTGTGCCGGCAGCGCGGCGCTCGTGGGATGCCGGCAGGGGATCGGGGATGGATCCGTGCCGGTGCCAGTATCCCGCTCCTGGGCACCTCTGGCTGTGGTGCCGGTGGGTGCCCAGGGGCGAGGTGCGGGGCTCCCGGGCAGCCCGATCCCGCAGCGTGGGTTCCCCGTGCCTCCCGCCGGCCGCCCCGTCCCACCGGACCGCAGGCTCTGGTTGTTTTCTCATCCTGCAGGAATTCGGCTCCGTGGGTCGAGCGGGTTTTTGTGTGTTCCCCCCCCCCCTTCCCTCTCTTCACTATCCCTCTTTGGAGACTTTCTGCATTCTGCCTTTGATCTCCCCCCGTGTTTGCCCAGGGATCGCCGGGCTCGCCGGGGTTAGAGGCTGAGGTCAGCGCCTTTCCCATTCCAAACACCCAGAAACATCAGTGGGAAGGGAGGGGATTCAGATTACAACCTTCCCGTCCTCCCCTTCCACCCCACTCGCCCCGCTCGCCGCGCCGGGGATGGACTGAGCCTCGGGGGACACCCACCGCCGCCACCGTGTCCCCGAGAACCGCGCGGCGATGGATGGAGGGCGGCATTGCCGGGGGTCCGGCGGGCGCCGGCCGTGCTGAAGGGCAGAGGTTTGGTCCTCGCCTCCTCCTCCTTCTTCTCCTCCTCTTTGTCCCCCCCGCCCGCCCGCCTTCCCCCTCATTCCCTCCGTCCTGAATGTGATTTATCCCGAGCCCTCTCCAGCGAGCCAGGCCGGCGGCGCGGGGTGGCCCGATGGCTCCTCGTGGGGGTCGCGGGGCCCGGGACCAGCGCACGGGTGGGCGGCAGCGGGGCCCCGTGGGCATCGCGCTGCTCCTGCCCGTGCTGGCGGCGGCGGCCGGGCTGAGCCTGCAGCCGGGCAGGACGCGGCACCTGGGCGTGTGCCCCAACCAGCTGAACCCCAACCTGTGGGTGGACGCGCAGAGCACCTGCGAGCGGGAGTGCCAGGCAGACCAGGTGAGCGGGGGGGCTGCGGCGGCGGAGGGAGGTAACAGGTTTTGGGGGGCATCCCCAGGTCCGTGAGGAGATGTTTGGGGTGCGGGTCCTGCGCCCGGTGGCACAGCTGGTTCAGTTGTTTCGGTGCAATCGGCCCGGCTGCAGCTCTGCCCCACCCAAGCCCCTGCTGTCTGCTGACGTGAGAGGTGCCCCGGGGATGCTCCCTGGCCCCCCATAGGCAGAGAAACTCCTTGTTGCCCCACATGCTTCCCCCTCAGGCCATGCCCCTTGGACAGGATCCCCTGCCGTGCACCCCCAGGATGCTCCCACCCAGCCGTGCTGTGCTGGGACAGGGACCCCATCATGAAGAGGACAGAATCCCAACTTTTCCCCGAGGGCAGGAGCCCACCCATGAGCCGGGTTGCCCATCCCAGAGAGCCCCGGCTCTGGGCTCTTCAGTGGTGAGCCGGGGCACAGACTCCCACCACGGGAAGGGCTGCCCAGACCCTGGATGGGGAGACTCCTTCAAATTCATCTTAACGAGTTCTGTCTCCCCTCAGCCAGCACGAGCTGAGAGAGGCAAGATGCGGTTTGCTGGGGGGGCAGAAGGGCTCGTCATCACTACAGCGCACCCCTAAACATCCTGGGGGTGCTGAGGGTGGGCTGGGGACGGTGCAGCGGTGCTGGGGAGGTTTTAGGCTCTTACCCAGAGCCCAGCGAGGCCAAAGGCGCACAGAGCTGCACGGGGGACACCTGCCCCCAAAGTCCCACGGGGGTAGGAACAGCCCCCCCAGTCACAGCACGGCGGTGACCTCCTCTCCCTCCCGGGCCAGGACTGCGAAGACTTTGAGAAGTGCTGCACCAACGTGTGTGGGCTGCGGAGCTGCGTGGCCGCGCGCTTCGCTGACGGCAGCGCCCCGGCGCTGGCTCTGGCACCCGCCGCGTCCTGCGAGAGCTTCGTGTGCGCCCAGCAGGGCTCCGACTGCGACATCTGGGACGGGCAGCCCGTCTGCAAGTGCAAGGACCGCTGCGAGAAGGAGCCCAACTTCACCTGCGCCTCCGACGGCCTCACCTACTACAACAAGTGCTACATGGACGCCGAGGCGTGTCTGCGCGGCACCCGCCTCACCACCGTGCCCTGCAAGCACATCTTCACCTGGCCCGACACCAGCCCGGTGCCGCAGGAGACCACGGCGCGCCCCACGCCCGGCGCCGGCCCCGAAGTGCCGGTGCCCCCCGCCCTCTACACCAACCCCTTCCACCAGTCCGTGCGCGCCGGGGGCACCGTCAGCTTCCGCTGCGATGTCAGCGGGCGCCCGCGGCCCGACATCACCTGGGAGAAGCAGAGCGAGCGCGAGGAGAACTTCATCATGCGGCCGGACCAGATGTACGGCAACGTGGTGGTCACCAACATCGGCCAGCTGGTCATCTACAACGCCCGCCACGAGGACGCCGGCATCTACACCTGCACGGCCCGCAACGCCGCCGGGCTGCTCCGCGCTGACTTCCCGCTCTCCGTGCTCCGGCGAGAGCCGGGGGACCCCGCGGGCCGGCAGCCCCCCCCAGCCCTTCCCCAGCGCCGAGTGCCTGAAGGAGCCGGACCGGCGGCGCTGCGAGCCCGTGGAGGTGCGCTGGCACTTCGACGCCAAGCAGGGCTCCTGCCTCACCTTCCGCTACGGCGGCTGCGGGGCCAACAGGAACCACTTCGAGACGTACGAGGAGTGCCGAGCCGCCTGCCTGGGCAGCGCCCGCCCCACCTGCCTGCTGCCCATGGTGCAGGGGCCCTGCCAGAACTGGGAGCCGCGCTGGGCGTACAACCACCTGCTGAAGCAGTGCCACTCCTTCGTCTACGGCGGCTGCGAGGGCAACACCAACAACTTCGAGAGCAAGGAGACGTGCGAGGACGTGTGCCCCTTCCCCAAGAGCCTGCAGTGCAAGGCCTGCCGCCTCAAGAGCAAGATGGTGCTGAGCCTCTGCCGCAGCGACTTCGCCATCGTGGGCCGGCTGATGGAGATCGTGGAGGACCAGGACTCCGGCATCGCCCGCTTCGCCCTCGAGGATGTGCTCAAGGACGAGAAGATGGGCCTCAAGTTCTTCAACATCAAGTACCTGGAGGTGACCTTGACCGACATGGACTGGAGCTGCCCCTGCCCCAACATGACGGCGGAGGACGGGCCGCTGATCATCATGGGCGAGGTGCACGACGGCATGGCCACGCTGGACCCCAGCAGCTACGTCCGGGCAGCCAACGACAAGCGCGTGAAGAAGATCTATGAGCTGATGGAGAAGAAAACCTGCGACCTCCTGAACCGCTTCCAGGACTAGGGGAGAGGCAGGACGTGCCAGCGGGGGGAGCTGCAGACACACCATGGAGGAGGGTGGCCCTGCACCAGAGGTTACCACTACCATATAGTTCCCCGCAGCTTCATGCTGAGCCCCAGACCAGCTCCCATCTCCCCTGTAATTTATCTGCTGCATGCCTCCCCCCCCTTGTGTGCCCCCCGACCTGGCCAGCAGCAATAAAGAACTGGGTTGGGTTGCAGAGGGGTGGGAGGTCTGCCAGGACATCCCTGCTCCCCATAAAAACTTCCCCACCTCAGCGAAGCCTCTGGACCCAGTAAAGCACCCCCAGTGCAGAATCTGACCCCCTCATTGGTGCTGGGGGTGGGTTGGAGATCCCTTCCCCGTGTTGGCACTGAAAGCATCAGGGAGCTGCTGGGGCAGGGGGGAGCCAAAGCCACAAAGTTTATTGGGGGGAAATGCACAGTCCTGGGGAAGGGGGGAAGGGTGATCGCCCCCTGCCCTCAGCACAGCATCCCCTGAGCAAACCAAGAAGTGTCCCCCATACCCAGGGGTGCTGTGCCCCCACTCCCACACCTGTGCCCCACCATGCCTGTCCTCCTCTGGTCCGGGCTGCGGCACCCTGTTGCCAAGGGACAAGGCACTGGGGGAGATGGACCCCTCCCCCCCAGCTAAGTCAGCCCCATCACTGCTGTCCCCAGGTGGCACCTGTGGGGGGACGCTGGGACCCCTCGAGGAGGCAGCGCTGGGGGCAGCAGTGCCGGGACGTGCTGGAGGTCGGGGCAGTCACAGCTTGCGGAAGATGAGGCTCTTGTTGTTGGCCGGCATGTCCACCTTGGGGTGCAGAGCCGGGGTCAGGGGGTGCCCACCGGTGTGGGGACCCCCCCAGACCCCATCACTCACCATCCTCTCCAGGCGCAGCCCGTTGGCCTCGGCCAGTTCCCGCAGCAGCGCCGTGTCCCGCAGGCCCCAGGCGGGATTTCTGCGGGGAGGGAGGCTTGGTCAGACAGACCGACAAGGAGGCTTGGTCAGACAGACAGACATCGGGGAGGGAGGAGTGGGTCAGACAGAGGGACACCGCGCCCCGAGGCATCCCTGTCTCCCGGGGGTGGTGCCCCCTGGTTGGGGGGCTTCCCCAGGACGCTGCTTATCTCGAAGGACCACACTGGGAGGGAGTTTCCTGCTGCTGCAGGATGGGCAGGACAGACAGGACAGGCCCCCAGCGGCCTGGGCCCCCCAGCCCCCTCCTACCTCTGCCTCAGGCTGCGGTCAAAGTCCACGTTGCTTTGGGGGCTGATCTGTCCGTCCACGGCGTAGGGCTGGTGGGACAGGGAGCTGGAGCTGCAGGTTGGAGCCATCCTGTGTCCCCCCGAGCACCCCCCTCCATGGGAGGCTGTCCCCAGCACGCACAGAAGCCAAGCAGGAAGAGATGTGGCCCCAAGAGGCACCAGGGGTGCCATCACCCTCCGTGAGTCCTGTCACCCACCTCAGCTCCTGTCAGCCACCTTGGGTTCTGTCACCCACTACAGGTCCCATCACCCTCCAGAGGCCCCCCCAGACCCTGCCTCGGATAAGGCGAGGGAGGACAGGATCTTTCCCATCCAAAACTGCCCCATCCAGGGCTCGGCATGTGCCCCAAAAGGCAGAGACACCCTAAACCCAAGCTCCCCCCTTTCCCAGCCCCTCCCCAGGCCATACCTGGAGCTGCCCTCCCACCTGCCCCCCTCCAACATTCCCAGTGATGCCCTGTGCCCTGCAGATGCTCCCACACCAGGATAGTGACCCACCCCGTAGGTGAAGAGCACTCCTCCGGGCTTCAGCAGCACCCCAGCACCTTTGAACAGGCCCTGGGGAATCAGAGAGGTGGGGACAAAGTCAGGGGTCTGGGGACACCCCTGAGACCCCCCTCCTTGGCCCTGGCACCCTCAGAGCAGGGCACAGGGGCCGGGGGAGGGCTGCTCACCTCGGTGCAGCGCAGCTCCGCGATGTGCATCATGTTGATGCTGACAAGGAGGTCGAGGGTGGCGGGCTGGGTGCCCCCCCACGCCTCCCAGCCCTGCGAGACGTCCACCACGATGGGGGGCAGCAGGTTGGGCAGCCCCGTGGCCTCCACGTAGGCAGAGATGCTGTGGGCACCAAACCCCACCTCAACCCCAGCCGGGCATTGCCTGGGCCTCTCCCCCCACCCCGTGCATCCCTCCAGCACCCGCTGCAGGCAGAGACAACTCCTGGATGGAGCCTCTGATGTCTGAGGAGGCTGTGGGTGCAGCACAGCTCTTCACTCCCACGTGGAGAACTGGCAGCACTTGGACAACCAGGATGGGGAGGCCCCAGGCCTGAACCCCCCATTCTGGAGCACCCCGAGCTCCTGCCTGCCTGCCCTCCACGGGTACCACTGCCCCAGCACCACCACATTTTGGTGTCATTTACACCCTTCTTGGCACATTCGCCACTCAGGTCTTGGCTCTGCAGCCTCACGGTACAGTGGGTGCTGCTGGGTGGGCAGGACACAAACCCCCCTGGACAGGTGCTGATTCCAGGACCTCCCCACAATGTTTATTTTTTTCTGCGGGGGAAAGATGGATTTTGGGGCTTTTCTGGGAAAAATAAAGTCCTGAGCTGGGGAGCCTGGGCTGTTTAGGACTTGGATATTGGGGATTTACTGAAAAAAAAAATATAGTGAGTATTGACTTGGGAAGCCTGGGATGGGCAGGAGTTGAATATTGTGGTTTGCCTGGAAAAATAAAGTGTCAAGCAGGTGGAAGCCTGGGCTGTCCAAGGGGTCTTTGCTGGAAAAAAATTCACATCAAGCTCATCTGAGAGCAGGATATTGGGGTTTTCCTGGAAAAAATACAGCACTGAGCAGGAGAGCCTGGGCTACCAGAGAGTTGGATATTGGATTTTTCCCGTGGAAAAAAAAAATAAATAAATTGGGGAGCCTGGGCCTACTGTTGAGTGGGTCTGTTCTGGAAAGGATATCCATCTGGCAGCTGGATATTGGGGTTTTCCTGGAAAAAACACAGCACGGAGCAGGAGAGCCCGGGCTGCCCCAGAGTTGGAGCTGGGGCTTTCCTAGAAGAAAATAAAGCGGGGAGCGGGGAACCCGGGCCGCGGGGCCGTGGGAGGGGGCTGCAGGCAGGTTGTGCCCCCGGGCCCCCCCAGCCCCCCGGGCCCCCCTCACCTGCGCAGGGCCCGCGGGTCGATGTCCGAGGGCTGCCAGCGCGTGTGCGGGAGGGCGCGGGCGAAGTGCGCGGCGTGGAGCCCCGCGCCCGCGCCCACCTCCAGCACCCGCAGCGCCGCCCCCGCGTGGGCAGCGCCCCCCGCGCACTCCCGCAGCACCGCCAGGATCGGGCCCTTGTTGCGCTCCGCGGCCGCCGGCACCTCCATGGCTGGGGCGGGAGGGGATGGGGGGGAACTACAGCTCCCGGCACCCCCGCGGGACCGGCCCACGGGACCGCCCCCACGGCCGCGGGTGGAGCTTCCACGGCGGGGTGGGTGGGGAGAAAGGAAGAAAGAAAGAAAAAAAAAAAAAAAAAAGGTTTCTGCGCCGCCCGGGAATCGAACCCGGGTCGCAAGAATGGGAATCTTGCATGATACCACTACACCAGCGGCGCTGCCGGCAGTGATCCCGCCCCGCCGCCCCTCGGCCCCATGCACGGCCGCGGCACCCGGCGGGGCCCTGCAGCTCACCCGGCATTGCCACCCTGTTCCCCCCAGCAAGAGCGAATTGAGGCTCTGCGTGGACACCCCAGGAAAACGGGGGTGAGTTTGGAACCATCACCCACCGGTGGTGGAGCTCTGGAGGGATCCATCTGGAGCACAAGGATTCGGGGTTCAGCCCTTCCGAGCATAGAAAAGCTCGGGGATGTGCCCACGGGCACTTAACAAACCCCGGTCAGGTCTCAGGTGGGGAGACTGAGGCACAACCCTTACCGTGTGACAGGGTAGGTGACAGCCAGTGGTGGTGTCCCCGTGGGTCGGGTTGTATTTAGGCACGGTAATAGGGTTGGGGGAGTCATGTGGATGTGACCGTGCTGGGTGCACCCCTGCGGGTGACCCGGGGGCGTCTGGCACCCACCAGGGTCGGGCGCTGCTGTGCTGTTCTTGGGGGGCACCCTCCTGCACCCCTCCCTCCCTGGCCAGCACCGCGGACACGTGGCGGAAAGGCAAAGGTCACTCTCGTGGGGTGGCTTTGCAGCCCCCGCAGCCAGGCTGGAGCATTCAGGAGACCCGAGTGGGTTTGTCACATGGCCTCTCCCCAAACCCTGGCTGCTGTCACCACCTCCGGGGTGGGGACGGGGACCGGCTCCGGGTCATGTGCCGGGGCTGCACCTCCCGCCACGTGGGGACACCTCGGCGGGACCTCCCCGCTCCAAAGGTCACCGTGACGGCCGGGACGCGGCCCCCGCTGCGGCTTCCCGCGCTGCCCGTGGGATGTGCGGCTCAGGGCTCATCATAGCGCTGTCCCCATGCGGGTGGCACCTCAGCCCCTGCCTCCGAACCCCCTCGATGTCCCCTACCTGGGCCCTCTGTGTCCCAGGAGTGACCCCTACGTGTCCCCTGTGTGTGCCACGGCTCCCGTGTTCCGTCTCTTGAATGTCCCGTGCAGGTCCTCTCCGTGTCCCCTGCGTGCCTGTGCCATCCTGTGTCCCACGTGCCTCCTGTGCCTTTTCCCCTACTTTGACCCCTGCGTGTCCCGATGTCCCTTGTGTGCATTCTATGTGTCCCCTGCGTGTCCTGTGTCTCCCACATGTCCCACATGTACTCTGTGGCCCATGCATGTCCCCTGCATGTCCCCATGTCCCACACATGTCCCCGTGTGTCCCCCGTGTGTTTCCTGCGTGCCCTCCACGTCCCACGTGTGCCCCTGATATGTCCTGTGCATGTCCCAAGTGCGTCTCCACATCCCATGTCCTTTCCCTGAGGTCCCTGCATGTGCCTCATGTCCCCACAGGTGTCTCAAACGTGTCTTGCATGTCTCCCTTGTGTGTCCTTGCACTCTGTGAGCGCCCCAAATGTCCCCCCACGTGTACCCCCGACACGTCCTGCGTGTTTCCCCTGTGTGTCCCCACGTCCCACACACGCCCCCAGTGTATTCCCTGAGTGTCCGCTGTGTGTCCCCACATCCCCTGTCTGCCATGAGCGTCCCCACATCCCATGTGTGTCCCCGGCGTGCCCCGCACGTGTCCCGTGTGTCCCCCGCACCTCCCGTGCGTGCCCCTGGTGCGTCCCGCGTGTCTCCTGCGCGTCCCCACATCCCGCACGTTTCCCCTTGTGTGTCCCGTGCGTGTCCCCTATGTGTCCCCACATGCCAGGCACGTCCCTTACACACCCCGCATGTGTCACACGTGTCCCCGCACACCTCCCACATGTTCCCGCGATGTGTCCCGCGCGTGTCCCACGCCACCCCCCCCGCACAGCCCCAGCCCCTCTGCGCGGTCCCCCGCCCCACGCGCGCCCCCCGCGCGGTCCCTTTAAGCGCGGGGGCGTGTCGCGGGGCCGCCCGGCCCGGCCCGGCCCGTTAAAGGCCCCGGAGAGGGGCGCGCTCGGCAGTGGTGCGGGGGCGCGGGGCCGGTGCGGGGCCGGTGCGGGCCCGCAGGATGTACACGCTGACGCGCGGGCCCAGCAAGCTCGCCACGCAGCGCCGCACAGGTACCGGGGGCGCGGGGCCCGGGGGCGCGGGGGCCGTCCGCCCGCGTTGCCCCCTGACGCCCCGCGCCCCCCGCAGGTCCCACGCAGGCGGTGGAGAGCAGCAAGCTGGGCGAGCTGCGGGGGCGGCCGCAGCCCGGAGCGTGGCCCCCCGCCAGGTGAGCGCCGTGACCTTGGGAAGGGGACCGGCCCCGGGGCGGCCGCGCCGTGACCTTGGGAAGGGGAGCGGGGCGGCCGGGCCGCCCGGAGGGCCGCGGGGGGGGTCCCGGTGCCGCCGCCCGGTGCCGCCCGGCGCGGGGGTCGCAGCCGTCCCGGTGCCCGCACGGTCCCGCACGGCGAGAACACGCGTGGCGTGGGCCGCCCCGCGGGGGGGACGCCGGGGCTGGCGCCGCTCCTCCTTCCCGGGGGCTGTCCCCAAAAACCGCGGGGAGTGGGAGCTGTGGGGTCACGCCAAGGAGGCGGCGCGGGGGGGTCCCGGTGCGGGCAGAGCCGGGCCGGGCTGGGCTTGTCCGACCCCCCCGCGCCGGCCCCGGGCACGGCCCCGATTGCACAAACCGGCGGCGGGGCCAGCGCCGGCCCCGCCGTGGGACCGCCCGCCCCTGGCCGCGGCTCTGGCCACGCCACGCACCCACGCGGGATGGGCCGTGCCCCCTGCCCCCGAGGTGTGCCTGGGGGGACGCTTTGAGGTGACTCCCAGCGTCCACCAGCGGTACCTGGAGCTGCTGGGTGGGTGCCGGAGGGGATTCCAGCGCCTGGCAGGTGATGATGGACCTATCCCCAAGGAGACCCTTTCCTGGCTGGATGGCTGCGGGCAAAGCCCACCCAGGCAGGGCTGCAGGACCCCTCCAGCTCTGCCCATCCCCTCCAGCTTCAAGAAATATATGAAAGTCCTCCTGTCCAGCTCCCCTCCTTCCCTGTAGCTCACTGGAGGTGCTGCCTCCACAGTCACTCTCCTGCTGCCTGGCAGTGCCCCTGGCTGTGGGGTCTGGGGGTCACTGCCCTCCCCAGCCCCTGCCCACAGGTTCACGTGGGCTGCCTGCTCCCGAGGCCTGTCTCTCCTGCCCTCCAAACCCACTCCCGAGGCCCCTTAGACTTTGTACCATGAGGAATGTGGCTGTTGCAGGCACGTCCTCCCCCAGAGCTGGGCAGAAGAACCAAAATACTGAAGCTTTACATTGAACGTGCCCTCAAAATCTCATCCCAAGTTTTTCCTTTGGCTTTGTCTGGTGTTGCTGCTTTCAGGCTGGGGCTGGTTTAAGTGCCACCCTCCCAAAGGGAATCCTGGCTCTGAGGAAGCCTGACCTGCTCCTCATTGGCAGAGAGTTATGTCCCAGTCCTGGGGCACCTCGGGTGCATGCTGGGGTCAGGGCTGCTCCTGTGATCCCAGTGCTCGCTCTGCAGAGGATGGCATGTCCCCTGCCTTGTTCCCAAGTGGATTTCACTTCCATTTTCCTGATATTCCTGCAGTTTTGGTGGCAGATTCTTTATTTTAGGGACTGCACTTGGTGCTGGGCTGGAGGACAGGTGGGAGACTGGAGGACGTGCTTTTCCCTGAGGAGCTTCCCTTTCACCCCTCCCTGTGTCAGAACTCCCGTTCCCTTTCCCTGTCTGTCCCCTCCCTTGGGGACAGGGCTGGGTGGCTGCAGCTGTGCCCCTTGGCCTTGCTGGGGCTGTGGGGGAGTGTGCACAAAGTGGGGTAACCCAGGGCACCCAATCCTTGCTCCGAACTGGGGTGGGAAGAGCTGCTGGCCCCCTCACCCCTCTTTGCTTGTCTCCACAGTCCAGCCCAGAAACTCGTGTTCAACAGAGTGAATGGCAAGAGGCCACAGGTGCTGCTGCATCAGGTCTCAGCTCCTGAGGAGTGCTACACCCTGGCGCACGAGGAGAACGTCCGCTTCATCTATGAAGGTGAGGGCAGAGGGTCCCTGGGCAGCACTGGGGGGGGCTGGAGTGTGTGGGGCCCCTTCTGAGGCAGCTGCATCGTCCTGGAAACATCACTGGTGCAGGGATGGAGTTGCCACCCTGGGGTCCTGCCCTATCCTGTTCCCCTCCTGCAGTCCCCCAGGCTGGGACACCCCCATCCCAAACCCACCCCCTGCCTGTCCCCCCAGCCTGGCAGCAGGTAGAGCAGCAGCTGGACGGCAGCCGGAGCGGGGACAGCGCCTGCGGCCCCGTGCAGTACGTGGAGAAAACCCCCAACCCCGGACTCAAAAGTGAGTGGGAACTGGTTGGGGCACTTTGGGGTACGCTGGGCTCAGCCTGCACCTGAGCAGGGCTGTGGTGGGAGGAGGAGGATGATCAGTGTGCTTGGGGAGCTGGTTGGGTCTGTCCTGCTGGTGCTGAGGCCACTCTGGGGGTCCTGGGCAGGGATGGCTGACCTTGGCACTGTGGTGGGGATGTCCCACTGTGCCCCTGGGAGGAGCCCCAGCAAGCAGGACTCTTGGTTGAGTCTCTTCTGGGATTCAGGCCTTCTCTAGCCATCAAGGTGGGCTCAACACCATGCTGGAGAGGAGCCTCCTGGTCACATCGTGGGGACCTGCTTCTCCTGGGGCCAGCAGGACCAAGTGGGCATGGGGACAACACTTCTCTGGTGGCAGCTGGAGTCAGGGCTATGGCTGCAGCCTGGGGGCTCCTGCAGTGGCCAAGAGTTCCCCAAGAAGAGAAGGTCCCTGTAAACCCAGCCTGACCTTCTGAGGACATGGCACAGGGGTGGGGAAGATTTGGAGGTGTCATTAGGTTGAGTATCAGGGAAAGGTTCTTCCCTCAGAGGGTGGTTGGCACTGAACAGGCTCCCCAGGACAGTGGTCATGGCCCCAAGGCTGGCAGAGCAAAAGCTCTCAGGCACACGGGTGGGACTGTTGAGGTGTACAGTGCAGGCCCAGGAGCTGGACCTGATGATGCTTGTGGGTCCCTTCCAACTCAGGATATTCTGTGATTCCGTGGTTATTTTTTCTGGTGGCTCAGGGTGAGCACCTGGAGTTTTGCTCCTGCTCCAGCTGCTCCCCTCTCTCCCTCCCCTCTCTTTCAGACTTTGTTCCCATCGACCTGGAGGAGTGGTGGGCACAGCAATTTCTGGCCAAAATCGAGAACTGCTCATAAAAGAGAAGAAAAGTTTGCATTTGGTCTCTTTTTAAAAGAGAAACGAAGCTGCGAGCACCTGGTCAGAGCCCAGGGTCGGTGGCGTTTTCCAACCACGTTTTTAAGATGCCCGGATTGGAGTGACCCCCGGGACCGGACCACAGCCATGCCCGGCCACGTGCCTTCCCCGTGCCCGGAGGAGGAGCAGCCTGTGGCCCCAGCCAGGATTCCTTAAGTGCCAGTTCTTGGACCGCTGCAGCTCCTGCAGCCTCCAGCTCCCAGGGACACTTTGGTGCCGTGCTGGGGGCGAGGGAGCGGCTCCCCCCCTGCAGCCCAGGCCCCGGGGAGGACAGCGGGGGGCTGTAGCAGGACCGCCTGACAATAAAGCGCTGAAACTGCCTGTGGAGATGCACTTGGAGCATGGGCAGGGCAGGGAAGCAGTGGGGTGGAGTGCAGCATCGTGCCCTGGAGAGGGGATGCTCCCAGCTGAGTCGTTGGTTGCTCTGGATTCAAGGGGCTCAGAGCATCTCCCTTGGAGCTGCCTCCTCGTCCTGGGGCTGCCCCATGTCCCAGGGCTCAGCTAAGGGCTGGTGCTTGCCTTAGGTGATGTTTGTGATTGAGGGGGCACCTGCAGGGGGCTGAGCCAGGTTCAGAGCCAGGCTGCAGTGTGGAGGTGGGGAAGGCTACAGGAATGAGGGTGCCAGGGCCAGCCCCCCCTGCCATGGAGGCCAGAAGTCATTCTGAGCCCCAAGCTCAAGGTTTCCCCCTTACCCATGGTCGTTTGGGGGAGGCTAAGAGAGGACAGTTGTGGTGGAAAGGATGGGGACACCAACTTCTGCTTCCATACAAAAACTCCTCAGCCCATGGGCTTTTCCAGGCCAGACTGAGCTCTTCCAGTTCTGGTTTCGTTGGACACCCCCCTTCCCTCATGTCCTCAAAGCAGAGATCAGGAGGCCAGCACAGCCTGAGCAGAGTCTGACTCCAAAAGAGGCCAGGAAACACCCACTGGAAAAAAAATCGTTTTTATTATTCCTATGATGGGAATAACAACCACAATGCAGCCAGCGGGGAGCAGCAGCTGCCTGGGACCTGTGATGCTTCTCCCACCTGGGAGGCCAGAGAAGTGCCAACAGCAGCCTGACCCTGGCAGCACCTGTCTGGTGAGCTCCTGGTCCTGTCTGCCAGGTGACCATTCCTGGTCCTGCTCCCTGCCCTGGCACTGTGGCTGTGACTTGAAATCGGGAGCAGCACCATGCACAGCCAGCAGTGCCTGCCTTGGTGACAGGGAGGGTGTTACAGCCCCGGGTGACAGGGGAATGCTCCTTCCTTAAGCCTTTCTTCCTTCAGGCCAGGATGGCCCCAGGGAGGAAGGGATGGGGTGAGGGGATGCCATCTGTGAATGGACTCCTCTCACCCCAGTTCTGTCACGGGCACTACAGGGGTTATGCTGCCTCTGTGTACCCCCCCAGCACCAAGGGTCACCAGTACCCTAACAGGACATGTACTGTTACTGCTGTGCTCAGGGCACTGCCAGCCTGTGGCAATTTGGCATCTCACCCCCTGCAACCCTCACATTCCCACTGCTGCCTATCCCAGGCAAAACTTAGAGGGCTCTGCTGTATGTCCCTTTCCAGAAAAGAAATAAAACAGGTACTGGGAGTCTCAGCAGTTTGCTGGTGGCTCCAGGCACCCTTCCAGCAGAAAGCATCCCCCCTTCCCTGCCCAGGGAGGTGGCTGGTGCTGGGAGTCCCCCCTGCACTGTGCCCTGGCAGTGGCTGGCTCTGCTACCTGCCGGGATGCTCCCAGGGAGCAATCCCTCCCTGCCAGCAGCTCCAAAGGGCTACAAGGTGTCCAGGGATGCCATTCACCTGCTGGCTGCTTGCTAATAAAAACACACATCGTTAAGATCCAGGGAAATTCTTAGTAACATGATGCACCATCGTTCTGAACAACAACATTAGGCAAAGGGAAAAAAATGGAACAGGAAGGAATGAGTCAGTCACAGGGAAAAGAACAAAAACCCAACCCAAAAACGTAACCCAACCCCTGACAATGCAATCACTGGGAGGGAATCAGCCCCCCTCTCCATAAATATTAATTAGTTATGTGCAATTGTGTGTAGTACTATAGTGCAAATAGCTCTGCATTGATCGTGGGGCAGCAGCCGGAGGGGCTGCCCCAGGTGACACAGGGACTAGTTAAGGACAGACAAGAATCAACACGGATTTCCAACAAACAAACAAACAAACAAAAAAAAGCAACCCAACCACTGGGAAACGCTAAAAAGAAATCCCAGTTGCTGCCTCTGACTGGGCACAGGCAGGGCTGGGCAGTGCTGGTACCCAGCAGCATCCCAGGGCAGGACAGGGCCTTCACTCCCTGCCCGCTGCTGGAACAGAGGATGGGGATGAGGAGGGGGATGTGGGACAGGAATGCTCTGGTTGGAGCTGTGTGGGACATAAGGGGTGAGCTCAGCAGGACATAGGCACAGCCAGGGCCTGTGGCTGCACAGCACAGTGTGGGGCAGTGCTGCTGGCAAAGGCCTGCACGGGCACAACACTGAGCCCAGCAGTGTCCCTGGGCACCCTGTGGTGCTTCACACACATCCCACTGAGCACAGCCACATCCACGGGCACCCTGTGAAATCCCACTGAGCACAGCAGTGTCCCCAGGGACGCTGTGGCACCTCTCACAGAGCCCAGCAGTCCCTGGGCACCCCTCACCCACTGCTGCCTCCAGCCCAGGCTCTGGCTCTCCAGCCATGCCCATCACGTGCTGTTCCAGGGGCTGAGCTCCAGGCATTGCTCCAGCACCACGTCCTACCTCTCACCCAGTGCCAGCTCCTGGCACCACACAGCTCCCCTTGCATGGCTGGGGTCGGTGCCAGCTCCTCAGGCCAGGCTTGGCAAGCAGGCAGGAGGAGACAAGAGTTTTCCCAAGCAGTTAAAGGAGACGCAGCCTCCTCTGTCCCACGCCAGGCAGGGGCCAGACAGGAGCTGTGCAGTGTCCCTCCAGCTGGACACAAAGTGCTTCCAGGGGCAATCCTGGTGACCCCAGGGACGGTTTGGACCTAAGCTATGTGACAGCCTCCTGCTAAACCACGAGCAACCACCAAACGACACATCGACATGCGGGCGAGGATCACGAACCGGGCGTGAGCGATGGGCAGGGAAGAGGGGAGCAGGGAGACACCACGCTCCTCCTCTGCCAGCCCAGGCCCAACGCCCCTCTCCACCCATCCAGGCTCCTCCCAGCTGTTTGGGCAGGTTTTTTTGCTGTGTGGGTGGGATGACGGTTGGAGAGTGGCAGTGTCTCATGTGCACACACACACACACACACAGACCGCGGCAGTCCCAGTGATCCCGGTGATCCCAGTGATCCTGGTAGCGGGAGGAAACGCCGCCATCCTCTCCCCCCTTCCCCGGTGAAGTTTTACATTTATACAGTATTTAAGACACGCTGATATATAAATTACTGTCTCTATATATACTATGTATAGGCTGGGGGCCAGTCCATGAGGAAGGGCACCGGGGGGCTCATTTCCCTCTGTCCTCTGTGTAGTGCTGGAAGCGGGTGAAGCTCATGAAGACCTGCTCCAGGGAGATCTGGCTCACCGAGTAGTCTTCCAAGCGATACTTCTCTTTGGCTTTCTCCAGGGCCCCAAAGACCTGCAAGGGAGGGCACAGACATTAGGGCAGGGTGACTTGGCATGGAGGACCCCCAGGCTGTGACAGGGAAAGCAGAGGAAGCCTTTTATCTCCAGGGGGACCTGTGGAAGTGCCACCTTCCCTGGCAGGAGGGTGGGAGGATGGAGGAGGATTATTTAGCAGAGTACTTGGCTCCATTTAAAAATAAACGCTGTGTATATGAACCTTTTACATATTTATATGAGATAAATGAGTATATATATAAATAATATATAAACATAATATATAGAAAATATTTACATAATCTTAGAATACCTACATATACTATATATACGTATATATACTATATACATAGCTACCTGTGTATAGCATAGCTAGTTTATATATAGCTATAATATCTAAAATATTTATAAATATATAAACACATATATATTTATAAACTATAGTTTTTATATAATCTATATACTATATGCTCTCTGTATAGCCTACATATATTCTATACTATATATATAGGTGATATATATATATTCTATAGAGTATCACCATATACTATATAGAGTATATAGAACACACAGAGTGTACAATATACAGATAAATAGAATTATATATACTATATAGTGTTTATAGTGTATACAGTATATAGTGTATATACAGTGTATATACATATTATATATTGTAATTTATATAATATATATGTACATAATGTAGTGTATATACACTATATATACACTGTATATAATATACAGATATGTAAAAACCTATATATACCTATATACTGCATATGAAAACAATCTGTATACTATGTATATCTCTGTATACATGTATTTATATACAGTGTATATATAGGCAGATAGTATATACAGAGACAGATAACACATATCAGTATATACTATGTATATACTCCATATATAATTATCTATGTACATTCTATGCAGATGGTTACATACTATACTTACTATATATATATATATATATACACATATACATATATATATATATATGCACACCCATGGGGTTTTATCTGTGTCCCTGGGCTGGGATCCTACAGGGTCAATGGTTGGGTGAAGCCATTGCCCACAGCCCTGGTGGGACCACACGGTGCCACCCAAAGCTGGGGTGCCAGGGCGCTCCTGGGCCAAGGGACAGGAGCAGGGAGGTGCCCACCCGTGCCTTGTTTCCTGCAGGGATATCAGGGTGGGAGTGATGTCTACTGAAAGCAAAGCACTGAGAGCATGCAAAGGGGCAGGAGGAGGGTTCCCTCCTCCTGCAAACAGGGAATTTGCTCCAGCACCCCCTTACCTGTGCCCAGCTGAGGTTCTTGTTGGTCAAGTGGTAATGCACCATGCCCTGGTGCTCGTGCTTCAGGACACTGCCTGGGGGGGACGAGCAAGGAGAGGCTCTGGATTAGGGAATGTGCTGAAGCTCACACCCAGCACCGTGCCCTCCCTCCAAGGGCTCCTGGTACCTGGGAAAGTCTTCTCCACGAAGGCCTTGAAGGCCAGCAGCTCGCCCTCCTCCTCGCTCCGTGTCTTGGCCAGCAAGGTGTAGCCACTGCCAAACTTGCTTTTGAGGTGCTGGGGGCTGCCCAGGCACTTGAACTGCCCGTTCACCATGATGGCCAGGCGTGTGCACAGCGCCTCGCACTCCTCCATGCTGCAGGAGGGAGAGAGAACTCGTTCAGAGAATCATGGAATGGTTTGGGTTGGAAGAGACCTTAATGCTCATCTAGTCCCACGCCCTGTCATGGGCAGAG